TTGCTAGGGGTCAGTAATGGCTCCTGGGCTTGCTGAAATCCTAAGTGCTGTGCTATGAACAGTAGCCCACAAAGTTCATTTAAAGTACTCAAATACAAAGAATTTTTACTCTTTCTATGCTATTCCCTGTATCTAAACTCCTCATTCAGTTCTGACCTCCTGCAAAACTAAAATCAGTTTATTTTCAATGGATGCTAGTGACTTAATAATCAATTGGTATAATAAGGGCAAACTACAAGGGAAAGAGCTACCTGTAGTCCTGATATCATTTTCTTTGCTTCCTCCATTTCTTTTTCCAAATATTCTTGTTGTTCCAACAGCTGTTCTTCCCATGAGGTCTCCAGATAGTTTCCAGGGCTCCCTGGCCGCCAGTCACGAGATAATGGAGAATCTGTCTCCTCTACAAAATGAAAAGAGGGAGTACAGTTCATATTGGAGAAAACTGATTTCCGGCAGAAAGCGTTCACAGGATCGCATTCACAGGTCCAGGTCACCTGCATTCTGAACCTGTTTTCATAGCACAGACTGGACTCTCCACCAGGTGGGGTTGTGAAGCATAAATTGGCTGTGAACTCTGGCCCCAGGTTCACTTGGTGCTAGAACAATCTAACCTCTTTTAAAACACTTAGGAAGTAGTTAGATTCCCGCTTACCACTGGTGTGGTATGGGCCACACAGATTTTACCCTTAATTCTCAGAACTGGCATTCCCAGAGCCTGATTTTCCCAGGTACAAAGAGAGGAGCTGTCAGATGCAATGAAAACAAAATCTTACTGGTTACTCTGAAGCTTTAGAGGGGAGACCTCAACTCAATGTTCCTTTGACAACTCAGTTATAACTGGACCACTTTCATAGAGAATACTGTGCGAGTCACACAGGAAACACACAAATAAAAACGCAGCTGCACACGCTGTTTAATATCACTTTTATTTTCCTAGCTTTATGGTCTCTGTGCTCTGGTTTCCTTGTCTATTTTGTACTATCTAATTGCATGTACAGCCATTTAAAATGCATTCTAGAATTCAGAAAGGCATAAACTCTTTCAGTGAGTTTCTTCATTCATGAGACAAGTATAATAACCCCTCTGGTTTGCTGTGAAGATTAAATACAGCAACTTACGTGCAGGGCATGTGCTGGTGCCTGGCCCAGAGAGGCACTCATTAAACGATCTCCCTCTCTCTCTCCAAAGCCCCTGGAGTTTTGATTCAATAACATGACTGACTCTTTGGTACTAACCCCAGGGTTAGAGGGGAAGCAGAATGTGGAAGAATTCAATTCCAGTTTTTCTTCTGAGGGCCTCTATTTCAGTACAACTCTTGTGGGTAAATAAAATTCTAAGTTTTGCACCTTGCTTCTTACATGTTTCTCCCACTATGTAAGAAAAAAAGAGCAACTGAAACAGTATGAAAGTCTAAACAAAGGGAACTCTTTATGGTCCTTTCTGTAGCTTCATACCAAGCCTAACGCAGTCCTGCTCTCTACTCTCTATGTCTTCACAGACACCTCAGCTCATACAATGTATTTCTGGTCCCAATTTAAGTTATGTAAGTACTGCAATTATTTGTATAAGACAGGAAAAATAAAAGTGTGTATTTGAGTAAGGCTTTTGACTGCCCCAAAGTCATTTCCTAATTCATAGGCAGCCAGAGAAAGGGCCTGTCTATGCTGCCTGATGTCTATGCAGCTAGGATATCAGAGGATAACCACATTAATTGGCTCGAAGTCATTAGAGCCCTCTAGCACTGACCCTGCATGCACAGACCATGGAGATGGGGAAGGCCAGGGCGCTTATAGGTGGTTGCGACCTCTAAATTCTTCAAGCTGGCTATTCCTTGAACCAACCCAGGCAGGCAGAGAGACAGTACCTGTTCTGTTCCCTATTCCTTCAGAGGGAATAATCACAAAATCTGCCTTCTCTTCTGACTGGGTTATAATGGACTCGCTCTTTGCACTGTGGATTGGACTGGGTGAAGTCAGGCTGTGATTGAAGAAAAAGGAGGAAAAATGATTATTATGAAGAATTGTTCAGAAAGAAGCTTTCATAATTTATTTCTGAGACCAGGGACATGTTCTTATTCACCTTACTCCTCCATGGCTAACACAGTACTTGGCCCACAGAAAGTAAAATCTTTATTTAATGATTAACTTTTCGAATGAATGAAATTAATACTAAATAAAGGAATGACCCAGTCCTATGAGGTCTTTTCCACAACAAGGATGCCTTTAAGCCTAATTCTTTGAGAAGAGATTTACCAAAATGACGGGTAATCTTGCATTCAAAGAACTCGAGGTTTTGCTTTGTTTTACCTCCTACCACCTCCGCCATCACCATCCCTGGGCCCACGTTCAAAGACTGATGCCAGTCTGTGTCTAGTAGCTTTTAGAGCTAGAACAAAATTTTATTTCCAAAACACTGACCTCTCACAGATACAGGCAATACAAGTTATCAAGGCAGATCAGCTCTGAGCTAATCACAAAGGAGAGTACAGGGTGGGGGTGGTTCAAGGGGAAAAGTTACTGGAGGCGGTGCATTGGCAGGCTGGGCAGAGAAGCAGTTATAGATCAATAATTGAGCTACAGCATGACAAGGGGAAGGTGATAGGTCAAAAGCGGAAAGACCTGCCAGGGATGAAGGAGTAAGGGTTTACTTGATTTCTTCCTATCGAAGAGTTATTTATATTTCTGACACAATACTTTCAAACTGTCCTCAGATCTTCTCAACGATTCTTAAGGTTTTGTTTTGTTGTATTTTTTTGAGACAGGGTCTCACTCTGTTTCCCAGGTTGGAGTGCAGTAGCTCCATCACAGCTCACTGCAGCCTCCAGCTCATGGGCTTGAGCAAATCTCCTGCCTCCCGAGCAGCTAGGACCACAGCTGCATATGATGCCCAGGTAATTTTTTGATTATTTTGTAAAGAAAAGATCTCCCCATGTTGGTCTCAAACTCCTGGGCTCAAGCAACCCTCTCTCCTCGGCCTCCCAAAGTACTGGGATTATAGGCCCAGTTATGGGCCACGGTACCTGGCCCTTAAGTTCGGAAATAACTACTGGCCTTGGAGGGAACCATGCAGATTTTCAGGGAAGTGGAGTTTTAAATCTCCAAAACAACAGCAAATCTACAAGACAAGATGGGAAGGTGAGGCTGGTGCTCCCATCTGACAGGGAAAGGAGTCTCAAGCCATGTCTCTCTGCACTGCACCTTGAGAACATCAGCACTGAAACAATCTCAGGGGCTGAGGGGTCTCCAGGCCCAGCCCCCTCTCAGGAATTCTTTCCAAATCCATCACCCAGACAACAGTGAAAGTGGCTAGGATTCACTGACCCACTTAATGTGCCCCTGAAGTCTCCCAGGCGAATCCTCGCAACCACAATCAGGAGTCAACATTTCGTCTTCCTAGAATCCAGTAAGAAACAAGAGCCAGGCACGGTGGAGGCAGCCTGAGGACTAGTGTCTCATCCTCCTGATTGTCCATATTTTAAGGGCTTTGGTGGGAATGATCTCAACTGGAAATACATTCTCTTCCTTCTTACAACCACAGAAAACATTGTAAAGCTTTTAAATTGAAATTGCAAACTAAACAAAGTTGCTTAACCATATCTATAAATTTATAACCCAAACAGGCAGGAGGGGTGGGTAGTGGCAAGAAGTGATATTCTGAAATAGCAACTGTTTTCTAGAACTTTCTCATTCATCCTTCACCACTTAGGCAATCTTGACTTCCAGGGCAGCATGAATTAGCTGCCTGAAAAGCTCTCATCCAAGGGCACTATGTCATTCACAAGGAGAATAGACTTGTGACTGCTCAGGCCTCAGCATTTACCTTCTTACAGAAATGGGAATCCAAGCATAGAAAGCGGCCTGCAAGAGCTGCTCATCTTTGAGAAACAAGAAAACAACACTTTCTCATCTGACAAGGTGCCATGGATGACATGTTCCACTGTCTGCCTTTGCTGGACCACAGTTGGTATATGTGAGATGCAGTTGGGGAGGAGGGTGCAGTGTGAACCCAGGGTGCTAGAAAACTGCTTTCCAAAAAGCACAGACGCATGCTCAGCTCCTTCTCCCTCCTAAGAGAGTTGTCTCCCATATAAGGGCAGAAGGAGGCGGATGTCTGGATATCCAACCCCACTGGGGGAGTGGCAGAGCAGCCAAAGGAAAACAACATTTCCCTTTCTTGAATTGAGGCTGCCAATGTGAGGCCGCAGAGAGGTGAGACCAAGAAACTCGATGGCCAAGTGGAGATATAAAGAACCTCAGGCAGGAAACTCCCGAGGCACATGTTAGAGCAGGCACCCGGCTGCCTCCCTAAGAAGTACCTCATGGACGAGGAAGATGCATTAAATCCTCTGTCCCAGGTCAGAGAAAAATATTTTAATGCTAATTAATTATGTATATGACAGGCTCCTCCCTGATTAGCTTAAAAGTCCTATTTTATAAACAAATAATCCCCTACTTAGCATCATAATCCTCTCTGAGGTCAGAGAACGACTGATCAGGTCTGGGCTGATACATTTCTTAATTCCCACAGGTCTAATAGGTCTTCTATCTTAATTTATCAGACAAGCAATCCCGCAGCAGATACTGCCAAATCCCAGTCAAATTAATTTTTTTAAATGGATAATAGGCAATAAGGAAGAGTCCTGTATCCTCAGGAAGTGCCCTACCCCAACAGAGACCCTGGCAGGGCCAAGAGCTACTCCTCCTTCCCCCATGCGGCTCCACTTCCTAAGCCCACCGAATTTATAGTGATAACCCCTGGTCAGCAGCCCGTCTCCCAACATAGTGCTCCCACCACCCCCTCACCACCTGTCTCCGGCCAAAAGCATCCTTCAGCCCTGCCCCTGCTCCCACCCAGGCCCCCCACTTTCAAAGCCAGAGTGGCTTCAGCTCACCATTTGACTTGTGTCCCTCCCATGGTCCCCCTCCTGTCTTGGGTTTCAGCAAGCCTGGGTCCCCGGGTGAAGTGGGAGGCTGAGAGTCACATCGCTCCCAAATTCAGGCATGTCTCCCCGGCGCTGGGGCTGGAAAACGCCTCCACGGGAAGGCCAGCCAGCGGAGCTACTCGCCCGGCTCGCGGCAGAAAGTGGGAACGGCAGCGGCGGCGTCTCGGCCCCAGCGACGAGGATGCTCCCGGCTCTGAAGCGCGCCGTCCCAGGCGCTCAGACTCTGCTGCAGCCCGGCCCCAGCGGAAGCTGCCACCCCTCGCAGGCTGCCGACCCCCGGCCGCTGCATCTTGGCCTCCGCAGACACACGGTGCCGGGCATCGCCCCAGGCCGAGGCATCTCAACCCATTTCCCACTGGGAGGGAGGCTCCCAGCGGTGCAGGCTGCGCCTCAAGTCCCCAGCGACGATCCCGTTCAGCTGCACCTTCCGGATCCCTCCCTGCCCCTCCCTCTGCTCCCTCCCGTGGCTGTCACCAGCCGCGAGGCGGCCAGGCTCCGACCCAAGCCAGCTCCGCTGAGCTGGCCAACCGACCGCTCTGGGCGGAGGTAAGGGGTGCGGGCCGGGGGCGGGGCTGGGCGGGGTAGAGGTGGGGGTGGGGGCGTCGACGACGGGTTGGGGGATGCTGAGAGGGGAGACTGGGAGACAGAGAGACTGGGAGCCCCAGGATAGGGAGGGGAAGGGCCGCAGATAGGCAGAATCTCGAGGAGGGCTCTGGTGGTCCGGTACTGTGGAGCCTGGCACCGAAAACGTTGCCTTCTCCACTCTGAGCCCTCCCTTCGTGGAGGCGGGTCGGACAGGTCAGGCCCACAAGGGGCTCTGGCAGCTCCTCGGGATGGAGACTCCGGTGCTCCTCAGGAAACCCGCTGAGCACCCATCCCCTCCCACCTTCCCTTCTGGCGTTTCGTGTGTTCTTTTTAACCAACTAAGGATGATTCTGCTTGGCTATAGTGAGAGGCTGGTATGTGGTTTTTGGAGCAACAGGCTGGCAGGGCTTCCCCAGGGCGTCTCCCGAGGAGCAGTGGCAGGGGATGAGATGCCCAGGGACTGTCCTTCTTTCTGAGCCACTCTCGTCCTGAACAAGCCACATCTAGGGACTCCTGGGCTCTTCACGGGTCACAGAGCCATGAAGTGGGCTCCCAGGGTGGGGGCAAGGGCTCAGAACATGCAGGAATCTGCTGGGTTCCAAATAGTCACAGGAAGCCCTCTCCTTCCCTAGGGGCCCACTGAGCAAAAGGCAGCTACCAACGGAGCATGCCAAAGAGCTAAACGAGGGGTCAGCATTAGAAGAAAATGGCAAAATCGAGTAGTAAAAAACAACGTAAAGCAAACCATTCTTCTCTGACCCCTCTCCTAGAAAACTGTCACTATTAGCTCACTGCAGCCTGAGAGCCAGTGGGTCCCTCATACAAACAGTCTCATAGCCCTCCCCTCAGTCCTCCTGCCTTAGAGAAAGCAGGTGCTCTCAGGAAGAAATCCACTCTTCCTCCTATCCCCCAACTCTAGCAGGCACCATCAGGCTTAGAAGAAAGAAAGGCCCGCAGAGGTGCAGGAAGCAATAGATCTCATTACACAACAAAACATCCTGTAATTCTGCTCCAAGCGACAACCTAAGCAGCAAGCAAGGAAGAAATGATTTAGATTCTCATTAAAAGCACACCTGCTGCTTAATGGGCATGGGGCTTCCTTTTGCGGGTGATGAAGATTCTTCTGTGTGGATAGAGGTGATGGTCGCAACACATTATGAAGACACTAAATGCCACTGAATTGTACACTTCATAATGTTTAGTGGTTAATTTTATGTTATGTGAATTTTATAAATAAAAAAGCACCTATTAAATGTAAAAGGTAAAAAGTTAGTGAAGTTATCAGTATATTAAAATACTAGAAAGAGTGCCATATGACCTCAATAAATTAGGAAACGGTGCATCAAAATAGGATGGAATTTTATGAGGAAAAAAATGAGGACAAAAACAGAAACACATAAAATACATACAAGATAAGGAATAATTAGCCCTAAATAGATCAGATTACAGCGGGTTGGGATAGGAAATAAAAGGTCATTAGAGCATAAATTATATTTCAGCAACAAAATGAAATTAGTAAAACATGATCTGGGGAGTGTTAATAGGAGCATGATTTACATTAGCCAGGAAAGTAATATTTTTCTGCCACTGATAAAGTTTTCATTAGGGCACTGTATCCTGTTTTGGTCTCTGTACTTGGCTCTAAGGGATACAGATAGCTTTCAGCTAGAGTCGCAAACATCATTAGCTCACTCAAATGCATGCTAATCAGCCACACTTCCTGTAGAGTCGGAAACACTGTAATGCTCTAAGACATCTCTGCTCAATTTCTTCTCTTCTATGAGCTTTAAACGGGCCTTTCAGGCCATAACTTAAGAGTTACACTTAGGCTCAAGGACAGCACAATGGAATTGGTGATCATAAATGCTGGTACCTGATATGCAAATGTCAGAACCACTGGACTGGGCCCTGACAGGTTCCAGTCATGCCCCATGTGGTCACAGCTAAGCACTGGCACTGGAACTGCACAGATTCCATTTGTGGAAAATAAACCACCACCCCACCCTACCTTCCTCCCCTCCTACTGGCACAAACCCACAAAACAAAGCACTGCTAAGGGGTATCCCTTTAAAGCCAAACATAAACTGGGGAGAGAAAAAGGGCTTAGGTGCCTTTTTGCTTGCTGTATTGTTACTTGAAGTCAAGATCTCCAAGAATCCCCAAGAATTCAGCTTTCAGAGGCCAGTTACCTGGAGCAGCTGGATTCAGATGGAGACCTTTGTTGCCCTTCATACTGCTGCACCAGGGCCCGCACGCTCCAGTATGGATTCTCAATTTCCTCATCCATGCTGCTGTTCCTAAAGTCAGAGGACACCAGCAAAGGGAGAGTGTCAGCCCTTCAGATCACATCAGCTCAACAAGTACAGATAAACTGCCACATTGCGAGCGGAATACATAAGATGACTAAGACAAAACCCTGCCTCAAAGACACTTGGTACCTAGCTGGAAAGGCAGACACAAAAACAAGTAATCCACCAATCTCTGCAACATCTCAGGGTCCTGCTCTCTCTTAGCAGATACAAAACCCACAAAGCATTTTTTTCTGCCATGACTCCCTAGGACAGCCTGCCCTTTGAGTACATTCCAGGGTAGAGCTTCCCCCAGATGAACTGGAACATTGCTCCCACGACATCCCCGTGAAGAAAACACCCTCTGCCAAAGGCACATACTTAAATTTTGGGCACCAGAGCAAAAACTTACACGTAAGATTCCTTTACTTTCTGCTAAATGCAAAATAAAAATAAACATCTCAAAGAAAAGGCTTTTCTCTTTTGAGAGTGGCCTCCCTACCTCCACTCCATGTTCTTTTCTGCAATGTGTGGCTGTTTGGGTGACATTTCTTTTTTTTTTTTTTTAATTTAATTTATATTAGGACACAGATGCTGGAGCATTTTTTTCTTTTTTACTTTTTATTTATTTTTTTTATAGGTGACATTTGTATCTACCACACTGTATCATATAACAGAAGAAATATCAGAGAGAGGGATCAGTTCCCATCCCAGTATTTCTACCCTTACCTCTGTCTGTATCGAAAGACATCCCGTCCTGATCGGGACATGTCATGACACACATCGGCCAGAGCGGCAGCTGCTCCCTGGGCAACAGCAATGGCACAGTGTGGTTGGTGACTTTGCAGAGGGGCTCTGGAGTCCCGTCCTTGGTTCACCGTCCTACTAGAGCCAGGTTTGAAATGAGCTGCCAAGGCAAGGACCAGCCTCATGATAGACTTCAGGTTTCCGTCCACAATATCTGAAGGATAAAACAGACCAAGAGATCCTAAGAGAGGGGCAAAAGCTAAGGACTTATGCATTTAATACATATTGCTAGTGATAGAGGTAAGCAAGGCAGTCAGGGTCTCAGTTCTCACAAAGCTCTGGGAGACAGAATATGTAAGAGCAATGACAATAAAGTAAGATCACGTGTTTTGATAAGTACAGGATTCTTTGGGAGGTTAGAGTAGAGACACCTTATCTAGACGGCTCAGAGGATTTCTAGAGGAAGTGGGTTCTAAACTGAGACTTGATTGATGAATAGTACATTAGATAAGAGAAAGACAAAGAGTATTCCAGGAAGAGGGAATAGCAGGTGTGAACGTCTTGAAGTGGGAGAGAGCATGATATATTAGAGCTGTGCCATCTAAAGTGGGAATCACCAGCCACCTGTAGCTATCAAGCACTTAAAAAGTCCTTAGTCTGAAATGAAAGGTGCTCTAAGTGTAGTACTTACTTAGCATATACACGTGCCCCCAAAATGCAAAATATCTCGATAACTTTTCATATTGATTTCATGGTGAAATGGAGATAGAGTTAAATAAAATATTATTAAAATTAATCTCATCTGTTTCTTTTTTTATGATGTGGCTATTAGAAACTCTTTTTATTTTTATTTATTCATTTTATTTTTTGAGATGGAGTCTCACTCTGTCACCAGACTGGAGTGCAGTGCTGCGATCTCGGCTCACTGCAACCTCCGCCTCTTGGGTTCAAGTGATTCTCCTGCCTCAGCCTCCCACGTAGCTGGGACTATAGGCACATGCCACCATGCCCACCTAATTTTTGTACATTTAGTAGAGATGGGGTTTCACCATGTTGGCCAGGATGGTCTTGATCTCTTGACCTCGTGATGTGCCCGCCTCAGCCTCCCAGAGTGCTGGGATTACAGGCGTGAGCCACTGCGCCTGGCAACTTTTTTATTTTCTGAGACAGAACCTCACTCTGCTGCCCAGGCTGGGGTGCAAGAGCACAATCTTGGCTCACTACAATCTGTACCTCCTGGGTTCAAGCAATTCTCCTGCCTCAGCCTCCCAAGTAGCTGGGATTACAGGCGTAAGCCATTGCACCTGGCATGCTATTAGAAACTCCTAAGTTACCTATGTGACTTTGATTATATTTCTGTGGCACAGCACTGTGGTGGAGGAACTGAATGAAGTTCAGCATACCCAGAGCCCAGAATGCAGGAGGAGAGAGGGAAAGGTGAGGCAGCAGGGGGGGTGAATCAGAGGGTGGGTCACACAGGGTATGGTAGGCCACAGGAAGGACTCTGGGTTTTACCCTAAGGGTCCTCAGATACGGAGGAGTGGCATGAGTATATGTACTCTTAGAAAGATCATTCTGACTGCAGCATAGAAAGCAGATGAGACGGGGACAAAAATCAGTGCCACAGGACTAACTCACACAGACTGTTAACATTTCTCCAGGTAAACGATAATGATGTCCTAAATGGCAGTGTTCCCTCAAAAGAGCTGACTTCGATGGGCCAGATCCCCAAGCCCACTCCACATGGGAACCAGATCAGAGGTATTGTGAAACTCTATATTTTGCCCTAGAAATAAAAGGGGAATGTAGGCGGAAAGCAGTGTGATAAGTCTGGTGAAAGTCAATGTAAGGAAATGGGTAACATTTTGTTTTCTTTTTCTTTTTAGCTTTGCAGCCTTTAAATATGTAAGACTTGGAAAAGGATGATTTTTGTTTGTTTTTTCTTTTTCACCTTTTGTTTTAGAAGGAGGTGGTACACATGCAGGTTTGTTACACAGGTATACTGTGTGATGCTGAGGTCTGGGGTATGACTGAACCCATCAACCAGGTAGTGAGCATAGTTACCCAGCAGGCAGTTGGCAGCACTTCCGCCTCCTTCTCTCCCTACTCTCGTAGTCCCCGTTTTCTACTGTTCTATTCTTTATGTCCCAATGTGCACCCAATGTTTAGTTCCCAATTATAAGTGAGAACATATGGTATTCGGTTTTCTGGTTCTGCATTAGTTTGCTTAGGATAATGGGCTCCAGCTGCATCCATGCTGCAGCAAAGGACATGGGACATGATTTTATTTTTTTATGGTATATATATATATATACCAATTTTTTTTATCCACTCCTCTGTTGATGGGCACCTGGGTTGATTCCATGATTTTGCTGTTGTGAATGGTGCTATGATGAACATACAGGTGCATACGTCCTTTTGGTAGAATGATTTATTTTCATTTAGGTATATGCCCAGTAAGGGAATTGCTGTAGTTCTTGGAGAAATCTCCAAACTGCCTTCCACAGTGGCTGGACAAAGTTACAGTCCCACCAACAATATATGTGTCCCCCTTTTCTCCACAACTGTGCCAACATTTGTATTTTTGTTTTTTGAGATGGAGTCCCGCACTGTTGCCCAGGCTGTAGTGCAGTGGTGTAATTTTGGCTCACTGCAGTCTCCACCTCCTGGGTTCAAGCAATTATCCTTCCTCAGCCTCCCAAGTAGCTGGGACTGCAGGCATGTGCTGCCACACCCAGCTAATTTTTTTGTATTTTTAGTAGAGACGGGGTTTCACCGTGTTGGCCTGGATGATCTTGATCTCCTGACCTTGTGATCCACCAGCCTTGGCCTCCCAAAGTGCTGGAATTACAGGCACCATGTCCAGACCAACATCTGTTGTTTTTTCACTTTTTAACAAAAGCCATCCTGACTGGATGAGATAGTATCTCACTGTGGTTTTGATTTGCATTTTTCTGATTAGTGATGATGAGCTTTTCTTCATATGTTTGTTGGCCACTCTGTCTTCTTTCGGGAAGTATCTGTTCATGTCCTTCGCCCACTATTTAATAGGGTTATTTGTTTTTGCTTGTTGATTTAAGTTCCCTATAGATTCTGGATATTAGACCTTTGTTGGATTCACAGTTTGTGAATATTTCTTCCCATTCTATAGGTTATCTGTTTGTTCCCTTGACAGTTTCTCTTGCTATGCAGAAGCTCTTTAGTTTAATTAGGTACCAATTATCAGTTTTTGTTTATGTTGCAATTGCTTTGAGGACTTAGTCATAAATTCTTTGCCAAGGCCAATATCAAGAAGAGTTATTTACTAGCCTTTCTTCTACGATTGTTATAGTTCAAGGTCTTACATTTACATCTTTATTCCATCTTGATCTAATTTTTATACATGGTGATAGACAGGGATCTAGTTTCATTCTTCTGCATATGGTTAGCCAGTTATCCCAGCACCATTTATTGAATAGGGAATCTTTTCTTTGTGGCGTATTTTTGTTGAGATTGTCAAAGATCACATGGTTGTAGGTGTGGAACTTTATTTCTGGGTTCTCTAGCCTGTTTCATTGGTCTATGTGCCTGTTTTTATACCAGTACCATGTTGTTTTGGTTACCGTAGCTTTGTAGTATAGTTTGAAGTCAGGTAATGTGACACTCCGCTTTGTGGCTTTGTTCTTTCACTTTTTAATTTAATTTAATTTAATTTATTTATTTTGAGACGAGTCTCACTCTGTTGCCTAGGCTGGAGTGCAATGGTGCGATCTTGGCTCACTGCAACCTCGGCCTCCCAGGTTCAAGCCTGTCTCAGCCTCCTGAACAGCTGGGACTACAGGCATGCACCACCACACCTGACTAACTTTTGTATTTTTAGTAGAGATGAGGTTTCACCATGTTGACCAGGCTGGCCTAAACTCCCGAATTTAAGTGATCTGCCTGCCTCAGTCTACCAACGTGCTGGGATTACAGGCAGGAGCCACTGTGCCCAGCCCAGGTTTGTTAATTTTCCTTAAGATTGCTTTGGCTATTCGAGCTCTTTTTTGGTTCCATGTGAATTTTAGGATAGTTTTTTTCTAATTCTGTGAAAAATAACATTGGTAATTTGATAGAAATAACACTAAATCTGTAAAATGCTTTGGAAGTTGTGGCCATTTTAACGATATTGATTCCTCTAATCCACTTGTCTGTGTCGCCTCTGATTTCTTTCAGCAGTATTTTATAGTTCTTATAGAGATCTTTCACCTCTTTGGTTAGATGTATTCCTAGATATTTCTTTTTTGTGTGGTCATTGTAAATGGGATTGTGTTCATAATTTAGTCTCTTAGGTAGAGGGTTATTGGTGTATAGAAATGCTACTGATTTTGGCCAGGCACAGTGGCTCACACCTGTAATCCCAGCACTTTGGGAGGCTGAGGCAGGTGGATCACTTGAGGTCAGGAGTTCAAGACCACATTGGCCAACATGATGAAACCCTGTCTCTACAAAAATAAGCCAGGCATGGTGGTATACACCTGTAGTCCCAGCTACTCAGGAGGCTGAGGTAGGAGAATCACTTGAACCAAGGCGGCAAAGGTTGCAGTGAGCTGAGATCAAGACACTGAACTCCAGTCTGGGTGATGAAGCAAAACTCCATCTCGAAAAATAAAATAAATAAATGTTACTGATTTTTGCACACTGATTTTGTAGCCTGAAACTTTACTCAAGTTCTTTATCAGTTCTAGGAGCCTTTTGGCAGAACCTTTAGGGTTTTCTAGTTACAGAATCACATCATTGGTGAAGAGAGACAGTTTGACTTTTTCTTCTCCTATCTGGATGCCTTTTATTTCTTTCCCTGGCCTGATTGCTCTGCCTACGGCTCCCAGTACTATGCTGAGTAGCAATGGTGAAGGATTACTTGATACCTTCTACGAGATGCTCTCAATGATCAGTATTAGCCTTACCTAAATTACCTAAACACAGAGAACACCAATAATCCAACATGAGCCCTTCTGCCCCTGTTGTCATCAGATCCACAGGCAATCAGACCCGGGAACTGATGCTGAAACAGAACCAGATCTATAGTCAATCCTTGAGAAACAGCAAGAGAACTAGGGAGCCTATACTCTCTAAGAACACCTACATTGTTTCTCCCTTGAAGGCTGGGCTCAAAATAGCCCTGTAAACCCATTTGGGCCGCGCCAGTACAGAAGAGGGCAGATACAGAGGTCACAGAGCTGCTTTCATCCTGCCTAGAATGTTCTATGGTATCCATAAAAGCTCTATAAAATATTTCCCTTCTAAAAAATCTGGATGGAAAAAAAGCAGGTTATGAGTATCCTAAGCAATATTTGGTCACAAAACCCAAGGAAATTTAAAAAAATGGAATCTTCATTTTTGATAACTTAAATGAAAAATTCTATAATTAATATCCCAATATTGTAATTTCTTCTCTCTTTTTTCAAAAATAGAGACAAAGTCTCACTATGTTGCCCAGGGCGGTCTCAAACTCCTAGGCTCAAGTGATCCTCTTGCCTTAGCCTGCCAGGGCTGGAATTACAGGTGTAAGCCACCATGCCTGGCCATAATTTCTTCCCTAACCACTAATTTGCCTACATACACTCAAGCAAATCTGTACTCAATTAAAATGAACGGCTGGCACAGTGGCTCACACCTGTAATCTCAGCGCCTTGGGAGGCCAAGGCGAGGTGGGCGGATCACTTGAGGTCAGGAGTTCGAGACCGGTTTGATCAACATGGTGAAACCCCATCTCTACTAAAAATACAAAATTAGCCAGGCATAGTGGCACATGCCTATAATCCCAGCTACTTGGGAGGCTGAGGCAGGAGAATCACTTGAACCCAGGAGGCAGAGGCTGCAGTGAGCCAACATCATGCCCTTGCACTCCAGCCTGGGCAACAAGAGTGAAACTTCATCTCAAAAAAAAAAAAAAAAAACCACTAGAATAAAAATAAAATAAAATGAATGGAGACTTTCTATCTCCCCGCAGGTTACAACCAAGGATTTTCCTAAGGCTGGCACTCACTGGTTAACATCGAGTTTACTCGTGCACCAACGACGTGATGAGGCACTGACCTTTAGCCGAAGTCTGGTGCATACGTATCTTTTTGGAGGCCACAAACTGCAGCACTTTCTCCACATTACTCTTCATCTCCTGTTGGTTACTGGGACTGAGCTGTACCCCACTCAGCTTTTCTCCCGCTGTTAGGAGAGAGAAAATATAGGCAGTTACAGGGAGGAATATTGTCAAAGTTTCATAGCAGCTAGACAAAGAGGAAGGGAAGATTTGATGTGAACACCAACATTATACATAAATATAAATGAGTTAAATGCTGGTATTTGTCACTGAGATGGGAAAAAGGAAAATGAAAGCCTTTTAGAAGACTTTTGAATTTATACTTAGGGGTCTGTGCAGTTACTGCGTATACATTTATTCAGTCAACAAATACTCACTGAGCATCTACTGAGTGGCAAGTAGTCACTGTTCTGGGCACCAGAGAAACAGGAGAGAACAAGAACAATAAAGTCCCCTTCCCTCATAGAATTTATACCTGCAGGAGTGGCAGACAACAACCAAGTTAACAAGCAAGTGTTTAATATAATTTCATAGTAGCGGTAAGCGCTTGAGGAAAAATAAAGTACAGTGACCATGGTCTCTCTGATAATACATTCGGCAGCAGCTTGAATAAAGTAAAGCATGTTAAGATCTGAGGAGGAGGCCGGGCGCGGTGGCTCACACCTGTAATCCCCGCGCTTTGGGAGGCCAAGGCGGGTGGATCACAAGGTCAAGAGATCGAGACCATCCTGGTCGACATGGTGAAGCCCCGTCTCTACTAAAAATACAAAAAATGAGCTGGGCATGGTGGCGCGTGCCTGTAATCCCAGCTGCTCAGGAGACTGAGGCAGGAGAACTGCCTGAACCCAGGAGGCGGAGGTTGCAGTGAGCCGAGATCACGCCATTGCACTCCAGCCTGGGTAACAAGAGCGAAACTCCGTCTCAAAAAAAAAAAGATTGGAGGAGGAAGCATTCTAGACTGAGGAACCACAGGGACCAAACCCCAAGCTCAGCTTACCTGAAGAATAGCAAGAGCAATGTGGCTGGGGGAGTGAGCTAGGAGTCAAGTTCTAGGAGAGGCTAGAGGGGTAAGCAAGACCAGGGCATGCAGGGCTTTCTGGACAAGAGCAAAGGGCCTGAATTTTATCCTAAGTGTAATGAGCAGCCAATGGAGAGTCTGAGACAAAGGAGTGACACAATCTGGTTCATGTTTTTAAAAGTTGATTGGCAGGGCGTCCTGGCTTACGCCCACACCCATAATCCTAGCGCTTTGGGAAGCCAAGGCAGGAGAATTGCCTGAGCCCAGGAGTTCAAGACTAGCCTGGGCAAGATGGTAAAAACCCCATCTCTACAAAAATAAAAATAAATAAATAAAATGGACTCTGTGTGGAAATAGACTATGCAGAGAGGAAATAGGGAGATCAGTCAGAAGGTGGATGAAAATAGTCAAGGCAAGACATGATGGTGATTTGGGCTACAGTGGAAGAAGCTGACTGATGAGAAGTTAGGTATCAGGTATATTGTGAATACAAAGCAGACAGCACATATGAAGGATTCGATATGATATATGAGAAAAAGGACAGTTAAGGACACCTTCTAAGTGTATAATGCAGTGTGTTACTCAGATGAAGAAACTTGGAGAATAGAGAGATTGGTGGGGGAAGGGCAACCAAATTTCTGCTTAGGACATGTGAGATTTGTTTCGCATGTTAGACATCTAAGTTGGATATTCATGGCTAGAACTCAAGGAAAAATTCAAGGCTAAAGACACAAATTTGGGAAGGCATCACTTCGAAGTAGAGAAACAGCACTCCAGCATTAGAGGTCAAGAAGGAAAAGAAAAGCCAGCAAAACAAATGAAAGAAGCCAGTGAGGAAGGAAGAAAAGTAGACGCTAATAGGATTCTGGAAGCCAAGTAAAGAAAGTTTGCGAAGAGAAGAGTGTTCTCAATTACGTCAAGTACTGCTATGCTGAATAAAATGAGGTCTGAGGCCTGGCCACTGGCTTTGATGTGACCTTGAGGAAAGGTTTCAGTGGCGGGAGATCAAAAGCCTGATACGGGCAGGTTAAAGGAAGACTAGGAAATAAGGAAGTGGATTCAGTGAGTACAGGCAAAATCTTGTGAGGAGTTTTTCTATCTAGCAAAGTCACAACAGAAAGTCGTGTTTTTGGTGACAACTCAAATTGAAAGTAAATTTAAAAAAAGAAAGAAAGAAAGTCTTGTTTAGAAACCTGGGTTTTGTGGGGAAGGGGTGCGATGGGGAAAAAAAAGAGCCTAGGTTTTGGAAAAATAAGAACACCTATTAGTGTGACTTGTATAGACATAGAATGGGAAGTTTCTTTGGGAAGAAATGAAGAAACTGCTAACACTAGTTGCCTCTAGAAGGAAAAATGGGGAGCTGGTGGGGAGACATAAGCGGAAAAAAGGTTTGACCTTATATCCTTTTGTACGTCTGGATTTCCTACTAGTCCATGTCTAACCTATTCTAATAGATGAAACACTAAATGTTGAAAACAGGCTTTGGAATTAAAGTAGAGCTAGGTTTGTACCTCTACTTTGGCACTTATAGTCACGTGACTTGGCCTCTCTAAGCCTCATAAAATGAATAAAATAGTAGTAGTCATATTATACACCTGTCATAAATAAATCAAAAGAGCATGCTTAGCTATTTTGTTTGACTCATACTAAGTACTCAATGAATTTATTTATTTTTATAAATCTTCTCTTTGAAGCGTGTTTCCTAAAAGTGGGGATAATATTATGTTTCCCAAAGACGTGAGGATTAAATGAAATGAAACAAGATAGAAAGTATTCAATCCTAGCAGTTGCTAGCACCATTGCTATTATTATTGTCATTACACATGAATACTCTGAGGAATTCATAAACTGTCCTAGTGAGGTATTCATGGACGGGCTGCCTGCTGCAAACCTGGCTTCCTCCATACGACTTGCAGGCCCCATATCCCGTAAGATCTCAAAGCAAAGTCAGTTAACATAACAACACATCTTTGAGAATCTATTATATGCACTCGGTTAGTGCTTGTATACATAGAAAAATATTATACTATGCCTGCTCTTAAGGGGCTCAGTCCAGGGGGGCGTGATTCAAAGAAAAGAAAAAAAAAAAAAAGAGCTCAGTCCACACAGGGTAGGTAAATGAATGATTGCCACATAATTTCCATTTGATGAGAGAAATAATAATAGAAATATGGACCAATGCTATGGAAATAAGGTTATGGTACCATCTAGTAAGAATGACTGGCAACAACCCCGGGGCTTCAAGAGGAAAAAAACCTTTTATCAAGCATTGTGGTAGAAGGGTCCTTTGGACAGTTAACACCCCTCCTTTTACCTGGCTACTACTTCCTTCTCTGGCCTCGGCTTAGATACTAATTCTTCTGGCAGGCCTCAGTTAAGACATCAGTTCTGGTAAGCCAAGCCTTGAGCCTCTAGGACTGGGCTGGGTATCCCTCCTATGTGCTCCCATCCATGCTTACCCCACTGGAGTACTAAGTACATTAATGGAATTGACTTCACTTCCCAGCCTTTCCAACCAGTTTGGTAGACTCTTGAGAGCACAGACTATTCTCATCCTTATATTATCAGAGCATAATATAGTGCCTGGGACACAATGTTTATTGACTAATAAATAAATGAATTAAGCTTGGACAAGTATTTTAAGTCTTTTCTACCTCCACTGCCATATGTTCTAAAGAAAAAACAATCTGCTCTAAAGGGCATATGGCGGATAAAGAAGGCCATGTTCTGGTCTATGCTAGCATCAGAGTCCAGGGCCAACTGACCAACAATCTCGATGAGATACGCCAGGATCACCCCATCCCGGAGATCCTGTCGCAGGTCCTGCACAGGCTTCACTGCTGGCCTCTTCTTCAGCTGTGCATTCACCCAAGCCACATAGGCCTGCAACTGTTGCTGGAAAATAAAAGATACAAGTAAGGGAAAGGTTGTATATTAATCTCATCCCTTACCTCGCACCCTCTGAGGAAGCATTTGTGACTGGGGTATGATAAACAACCTACATCCAGAAGGAAGAGAAATTTTTGAGGAAAGAAGAAAGATTGGCTGAAGAGGGTGGATCACCTGAGGTAAGGAGTTCAAGACCAGCCTGGCCAACATGGTGAAACCCTGTTTCTAAAAAAAAAAAAAAAGAAGAAGAAAGATGATATCATGGTTAGACACACAGCATGTTCACTGTAGACACACATAAGCATATGAGTGCTTCAATGACCATGACTCTTGCTTTCCTCAATTTTTGTTCTGTTGACCAGGGATGAGGGCTTGGCCCAGAACCACAGCCAGTTTTCAGGTATATTCATGACTGCCAGCAACCCACCATACTTGTCACAAACAATCACTCATGCCATATGCACATTGGACTGTGATACTCATACGAATTGCTCCTGGGGAACCAGGAAAAACAATAAACCATGCTCAGAGCTGCCTCTCCTATAGCTGCTTTCTTCAAAATGAGACTTAAGTGAAATCATCTCACAGTCAACCCAAGATTTATTCTCCTGAGCCAATAATCCTAGGATTGCTACAGAGTTAGTTTTAATCCATGCTTTACATTGTCAAAGAGGATCTGGTTACTGAAAATCTACACAAAGAAGGGAAAAAAAAAGGCTATAGTGAGCAATGTTACTGAAGATGAAGAGGCATTTTCCTTTATTTGTGGACAAAGCTAAGGCCCAGCATTATCAGAAACCGGTCAGGCACCTAGGTAGGGACATACACCTCATTCCAACCCTTGGACAACCTTACACACTACATTTTTGTCCATTAAACAGAACTTGTATTCAGATGTTTATTCTGATTATTTGGTCAAAAGATGGGCACTAATATCAAAATACCAAACAATGTCACAGTCCAAAAGTAGCAGCTCTGACTGGTTTCTGAAGCAGCCCAAGACCCTGAGCCTAAAACTTAAGTTCAAGGGTTAAACGTATTAAATTATAATTTGGTTAAAATACAGCTGATTCCTAAGCCCCAAGGACTTCCTTAAAGAAACAATGTTGGGAATTACTCACTGGCTGTTTCCTGAACATGAATTAAATCTTCATTATTTTCCCTCTGTGTCAATTTGTAAGAATAAATAACATCATTTGGAAGACAGTGCTAAGACAACAGTCTATCAGCCACTGACAAACTGTAGGAAATGCAATGATCAGGAGGGGGTGGGAGGAGGAATCTAATATTTATTGAGTACCTATCATGAACTAAACACAATTTTTGGTGTTTGACACATTTTAATTAGTGAATGTACCTGGGCCAGAGCCTGACATAAAATTGACACTTACTAAAGGATCATTTTTGTTATCATCATCGAATTCATTTCTCAAAAAAACAACTACACTAGAGTTAGCATTATCTCCGTTATACAGATGAGGTTCAGCGAGGTTATGTAACTTCTCTAATGTCCCCATAGCTAGGACATAGCAGACATGGTATTGAAGCCCAGTAATGTTGTCCATGCCTTTACCAAGGGCCTCTTGCTATCCAACTTACTCCACAGAACAGAAATGGCTGCGCCTTCTGCCTCACATGGGCCAGACACCCATCCCCAGGGACCAGATGAGATCTGTGATGCTCCAGGGTCTGCTGCCACTGTGCAGTCCAAGCACTGCCTGAAGCAGACCAGGCAAAGGGCACCTCTAGAGTGAACCACTCTGCTCTGAGAGAAAGCAGTTAAGACCAGAAAAAGCACTAAGGTGACAGGTGAGATCTGATAACCTGGCATTTATATAAAACTCTGAACCAATTTCCCCTCTATCTATTAGCATCCTCAACCCACCGTCCACACATTCCTGCTTAAATCTGTCACTGGTCTCCAATTATCCTTGAGATAAAATCCAATTGCCATTTAAACTCATCATGTGCTAGTTTTCGCCTGTTCTCCAGCTTCACCCCAATTCCCCAAATACCTACCACGCTTCAGTTCATCTGAATCATGTACAGTTCCCCAAACCCACCATGCTTTCCAGCTGCTCCACTTCCTCCTAACTCCTGCCTCTTCTTCTCCTTTTTTTTTTTTTTTTTTTTTTTGAGACAGAGTCTCCTTCCATCACCCAGGCTGGAGTCCAGTGGCGTGATCTCGGCTCACTGCAACCTCTGCCTTCCGGGTTCAACCAATTCTCTTGTCTCAGCCTCCTGAGTAACTATGATTACAAGTGCCTGCCACTATACCCACCTAATTTTTGTATTTTTAATGGGGAGGGAGGTTTCACCATATTGGTCAGGCTGGTCTGGAACTCCTGACCTGTGGTAATCCACCCACCTCAGCCTCCCAAAGTGCTGGGATTACAGACAATGAGCCACCATGCCCGGCCAACCTGCCTCTTCTTAAGTCTCAGCTCACGCGATCACTTTTTTTTCAGAAAACCTTCCCTGACCTCTCAGATACTTCAGACTCTGATCTCCTTGAGGGCATCCTATGTCACGTGACCAGTCCAACAATAATTTGAGGCACTGTACCCAGTTACAAGGCTACAACAAGCCCCAGCTTGCAGGCCGGTAGAAACAAAGCTATGATGGGGAACACAGGGTGCTAATAGAGCATTAGCCAAACCTGAACCCCAAGCTTCAGAGGGTCTCCTGAAGGAGGCAAAGAAGACAGTGAGCTCAAATGAGCTAAGGCCTGAAATAGGCATTATGTGGAGAGTCACAATTATGTGGAGAGTCAAGTTCAGAATTACTTGACTTTTGGGGTAACAGGTGCTCAACGAATATTTGTTAGAATCAGTTCATCACTTGTCACACGTTATCAGCTCAATAAGATGACGGCACAAGTTAATTACATGCGGGACAAACAAGAACGAGCATTTTTCATGAGGTCAAAATAAATTCTACTTAAGTAAGCTTAGCTTTTTCTTGGCCGTAGAAGTTGTCTCTGATGCAAAACTGATTAGCGGTTCCTAACAGTACTTTTCATGCACGTTACTCACAGTCTGGTCTTCCAACAGAAGAAGGTTCCACAGCATCAACAATAATAGTCACCACTTTTCTGAACACCTACTTTGTTTCAAGAGCTACGCTAGGTTCTTTAAAACACATTTTCTCTAATGCTCACCTGGCAGGAGCTGTTTTGGTCTTTATTTCACTCATTGAAAACTGTGACACAAAATGGTGAAATAACTTGTTCACAGTTACCGAAACAGTAAATCATTAATATGGGATCCAGATAGGACTGCCAAGCCAAACGCTCTTTGCACTCTGCCACACTACTGCCTAAATAAACGCACTGCTGAGGCTTAAATGACTTCCCTAAAATGCTCAGGATGTACCTGAGTCTAAACCACTCCCTCCACCACATCCAGTGCTTGAATCCTTTGTGTAATAAACTATACTAAGTGGCTGTCTACTAAAGTGTTCTTCCCAGATCCGGAGCATCAGCAACACCTGGGAGCCCGTTAGAAATACAGACTCCTGGGTTCCTCCCCAGCCTACTAAATCAGAACCCGTGTCTTAACACGATCTCCCAGTGATTCATATGCACAGTAAAGTATGAGAAGCACTGACCCAGCCTGCTGTTGCCAACCTGGCTGCACGTCAAGTTGCAAGGGAAGCTTTTCATAAGCAGACCGCATCCCAAATCTACCTGTTATCTCCAGAAGGTAGAAATTCAGAGAGCTGGCTGGGCATGATGGCTCACGCCTGTAATCTCAGCACTTTGGGAGGATGAGGTGGGTGGATCACCTGAGGTCAGAAGTTCAAGGCCAACCTGACCAACAAGGAAAAACCCTGTCTCCACTAAAAATACAAAAATTGGCTGGGCATGGTGGTGCATGCCTGTAATCCCAGCTACTCAGGAGGCTGAGGCAGGAGAATGAATACCTCGAACCCAGGAGGTGAAGGTTGCAGTGAGCTGAGATTGTGCCATTGCACTCCAGCCTGGGCAACAAGAGTGAGACTTTGTCTCAAAAAAAAAAAAGAAACTCAGCTTTCTTCCCAAGCTTTCCTATATGATTCTTATAAAGCTAACTTGAGTTTTTCCTAAACATTCCAGTTCCCTTAACCAAGGGGGTTCCCGGCCTCCTTGGTTAACAATCAGAATCACTTGGAAAGCTTTTTAAAAAATACTAATGTCGGCCGGGCATGGTGGCTCATGCCTGTAATCCCAGCACTTTGGGAGACCAAGGCGGGAGGATCACGAGTTCAGGAGTTCAAGACCAGCCTGACCAACATGGCGAAACTCCTACTAAAAATACAAAAATTCTCCAGGCGTGGTGGCGTGCGCCTGTAATCCCAGCTACTCAGGAGACTGAGGCAGGAGAATTGCTTGAACCACAAGGCAGAGATTGCAATGAGCCAAGATCAAACCACTGCACTCGAACCTGAGCAACACAGTGAGACTCTGTCTCAAAAAAAAAAAAAAAAAACTATTGTCTGGGCCCACCATAGACCATCAGAAGTTCTGAGAGTGGGACCAAGGTATATTAGTATTCCTCAAGTGCTTCTAGTTACATGCAAAGATGTGAGCCAATGTTAACTATTCCTTACATAAAATAGTTCAAAGTATTCTGCTTTTCTTTTCTTTCTTTCTTTTTTTTTTTTTGAGACAGAGTTTCACTCTTGCCACCCAGGCTGGAGTGTAATGGCGCGATCTCAGCTCACTGCAACCTCTTCCTTCCAGGTTCAAGCGATTCTCCTGCCTC